ATATTTCCTTTGTTTGAGCAGTCTATGTACTTTGGTGACTATTGTCTCTGTTCATCTCTGTCAAGATGCACTGCCAATACTTTGTGTTGGGTTTTTCCATTCCATGTGAGAGCTTTTTTTCCAGCCAGTGGCAGGTTTTGTTACTCTTTTCTGAAAGAACCTGAAATATATTTTAAAGATGGTGACAGTTACTCCACACTACAGCTGAATGAGGTCAGTTCACTACAGTTGATTCCTCATATTTACCATCCCAACCCTGGGCATCCAGAAATCTTGTTTGCCTTTTTTTTTTGAGTGTAGCTGTATGCTGAGCAGAAATCTTTTCTGAGCAGCCTGTGGTAAGGGTATGGGACTTGGAGGGATTTCCAGTATCACTGCATCCATTTCCCTTCTGATACAGATGTTGACTTGGTGTGGTCAGACTGTAAAGTTACCAGGCTCTGTCATGTAACTGGTTAGATCTCCATCCCTCCCGTCGGAAAGCTGTTCTGTCACCTCTCTCCTCCCGAGGTAGTGGGCTTCTCTGACTTCTGCTTGAATGTCTGTTAAAATATCTTCCTGGGATATATGTCACTAAGCTATTTCCAGGAGTATTCTTGTCCTCTTGCAGAGTGATCAACCAACTTACAAGGGCTGAGCTCTTCCAGTGTCCTTTTTGAGAGAGGTCCCTGTGCTCCAAACTTCCTGGATCTCTTCTGTGTATTTGTGTTGTGGTTATCAATGAAACTATTGAACAGGATCAGACCCAGGGATCCAAGAGTCCCAGTGACCCTCCTCCAGGCGAGCAGTGCTCCTTTCAGTGCACTAGTCACTGTGTGCTCTTCACATGCTCTTCTTCACCTTGTCTGTTCATTAGGAAATTCTCTAGTAGCACTGTTCTGAGTACTTCTGCCAGAGTCCAGATTGCTGAGATCAAGCCTGTTGTCCTTCCCTGGGAAATCAACTGTTTCATCAAAGATTGTATGGCTGGCCTAATCTGCTTTTAGGACCCCCATGTTACATTTTAAGACTGTTTTCCATTTACTTCTTGTCCCTCAATTATCCTTCTCCTCAGAAATGGAGTCTAAAGCCCTGCAGATTACTGAGGTCAGAGTAACAGCCTCTTTATCGCTACCCTCCTGTCCCTTCGTGTGTGTGAGAGCTATTCTTGCTTTTCTCCAGTCTTGTTACCACCCTGACTACACAGTTTTATTAAAAACCTATGGCATAAGAGCTATAACTTTCTGGGTTTCAGGGTTGGTAATCCTCTCACTGTCCTTATGTCCTTAATGTTTTGCTTCAGCAGCCACAGTGCTGATTTCTATTTCTTTCTCACAGGGCCATTAATGAGACTCTCTTGTTCCTCTGATGTTTTCTATCAGCTTAATTGAATATCAAGGGGAACTTGAGTAATTTGTGGTCCATTCTTTCACTTAGTTGACTGTGGTCTCACCCACATTGCACAGTGGCCTCGCTGTTTCTCTTTTTGTCTAACATTACTAAAGAAATGTATTGGTTTAATTTTCTTTTCTGCAAGCACTGAGCCTCTTTTTGACCATTCTTATGTTACCCTGAAATTCCTTGACTCTTAAGACGTGGCTTTGTTTGCTGATGAGTCTCCTCTTCCAGGCTTTGAATTATCCCCAATCTTGAAGCATAAACAATGTCATGCCAGGTCAGAACCAAGGTCTGGCTAGCCCAGGGTGTTGTCACAGGGGTGCCACAGATTACTGCTGCAGAGGATTAAAACCAAACCAAACCAAAACAGGACAAGCGTGTAGAGCTAACTCCCTGGCATGCTCTCCGAGTCTCCTTGTAGCTTGCAGCTCAGGGGCTGTCCTGAGCTAGGCACTGCTGTATTTAACACCGCAAATGGATTCTCCTGGTAACCGGTCTACTTGATTTTCGAACCTGTGCTATCCACAGCCTCCTGTGACAAGGAGTGTGGGGAGGCACCTGGGAGGAATGAGCTTTGCATCCATATGTCGTCTTTTCTTTCCGTCCACAGTGGCATTCTCTACCTCAATGATGACTTCCAAGGTGGGGGCCTTTTCTTCACTGAAATGGACACTGTGACTGTCACGGTAAGTCTAGGACTGGCCTAAAGAAGGAGAGAGGATTTAAGGTGAGACTTAGCCTGGGTGGGAGGAAACCCAGTTTGTTATTAGATCCTACCGCTCCAAAAACAATCCAGTGCTGGTGCTGTGGCAGATTCAAATAGGGACATCTAAAGGCAAATTGAGGCAAATCTCAGATGGAGGAGAGGTTAACTCCTTCCTAGCCGGGATGTTTCAGGCCCTTCCAGCCTGTGTCTGTGACCCTTGTTGCTTCTGTGATTCTCTCCCTTGCTCCTAGACTGGCAGTGGATGCCTCACACTCCTCTGCCGTTCCACATTCTGAGAGGCAGCGTGTTGTCTGTGGAAGGACTGTGTACCTCAGAGCAGGGGGCTGCTGCTGACTTCACTGTCTCTTCTCTCTCTCCTGGCAGGCTGAGGTGCATCCTAAGTGTGGGAGGCTAGTAGCCTTCAGCTCTGGCAAGGAGAATCCCCACGGGGTGTGGGCAGTGAGCCATGGAAGGCGCTGTGCCATTGCTCTCTGGTACACGCACTCCCAAGAGCATGCTGAGCAGGTAAAGAACTGGAGAAAAACGGATAGCAGTAGCTCCAAGCTAGATCGAATCCCCCCAAGGAATGGCTTGTGGGCTTTGCCACAGGCCAAGGCCTAGTGCAGCAGCTGAGGGTTGTCCTCTGACAAGGTGCAGGGTCCAGTCTGTGATGGGTCCTGCAAGGCACAGTGTGCTCTGGGGGGGTTGGATGGACATGATAAAAGATGAGATGTGTCTTGTCAGCCCCTGCAAGCAGAGCCAAGACCTTAACAGGAAGGAGTTCACATCATCTCTGTCTCCATGGCTGCAGGAACGGGTGAAGGCAGAGGAGCTGATGGAGCAGGACCAGTCTGATGGAGGAGATTGTCACGGGGCTCATCGCAGCAGCAGATCCTCCTCAGAGCCTCCTGTTTCCAACAGCAGAGCCAGGCCCATGAGCCGGAGACAGAAGCCTGGCTTGGACATGACACAGCACCCCAAGGAGCTGCAGGCCAGAGATGAGCTCTGAGTACACGGGGCCCCGAGGGCAGGACTGGCACACACTGCTGGCACCGGGACCACAGAGGCCTGGAGCAGTGTATTAGCATGCTAGAGCTGTAGTGATGGGGAGGGATGCAGCTTTCTTCTCTGTGACATCCCAGCAGCTGAAAAATGGGAGTAGGGACAGAGTATTAAAGTCAGTGACACTAGGAACTTTCTTCACTGCCTCACCAACGTGTTTGTGCCACTCAGAAGGGAGCAGGTAGGGTCTCCTCACCCCATTCCTCTCAGTGCCAGCTTCTTGATCATCCAGGGCCAAATCTGAGAGGGGGGAGGAGGAGCCTGGGTTCTTTCAGCAAGGGCTGTCTCGCATTCAGGAACTCAAACCAGAAGCCTCTGAACTTCCTAGGTACCTGCAAACTCCAGAACCTCGCAACTGGTCTGAGAGAGGGAAGGTGGGGGACTGTGAATATATGGAATAAAAGCAAAATGCTGGACACGGATGTTGGTGGAAGCTTGAGTCTGTACGCCAGGAGGGAGGTGTGCAAACTCATTGCTGATGGAAATTTAATTAACAAATGATGGAAGGAGATTGAGCCCTCAGTGAAAGAAAACAAAGTGTTTGCCCAGATGGCAGCTACTTCCAATAAGGGAGAGCAAGAGAGAAAGTCAGCTCTGCCATGACTAACCCCTGGCAAGCATGGGGAATGCCTTTCAGAAAAAGCACTGTATGCTCATGTTTCCCTTGCAGCAAGTTTTTTTTTTTTTTTTTTTTTTTTTCCCTCTCAGTGCACCAAATTGCCCCTGAACGCAGAAGAGATATTTTGTTTATCATTTTCCACCCTGATACAAAGACAATCTCCTGTCACTGCCCAGGAGATTAGTGTCCTGAGATGGGATTATATTGTAGCCAAACAGGAATTGAATAGGATGGATACGGAGTATCAAAAAGAGCAGTGACCCTTTTCCTGGGAAGCATTAGGGCCAGAGATCAATCTGTGGTCATGACACACACAGGCCTTGATGAGAGCTGTGCAGGGAGACCCCAACTACACTGCAGGTCGAAGAAATCTGTAGGGCCAGGGGCAGTAATGGAAGAGGTGGGTGAATGATACAGGGCCGCTGCTCCATGGAAAGGGAAATCTTTCTTCAATCTGAATCCCAGCACATCCTTAATACACGGGCTTGGGAAACCCACATCAGCAACCCTTTTTGCCTCACGTCCTTCCCAGGGTTGCAGGAAAAAGACAATTTCATGTGTGCATTTCAGATTCCCTCTCCCTGGTGAGAGGTCTACCACATCCCAGCCCTCACGTCCATTCCGATGATTTATGTGGGGGCACTGGGTGGTTTCTGCTTGACGAGGACGTGTTGGGGGGTAAGAGGCCAGTGTCCATATCTCCCACTTGTTTTGCCCAAAGGTGGTCTGAGTGATTAGACTGATGGCCTCCTGACGTCAGATGAGATCCGTTAAAAGGTATTTATCTCGGGCTTGGGCCAAAGCCTCAGGAGAGATTAAAAGAGATTGAGGCCAAGATAATCCCCTCGCAGCATCCCACTAAAGTGGCTGCCAAAAGGCACGCCACCAAATCTTTTTGCCACCCCTGGCCCCTGTACCCGGTTCTGTTTTCCCCATGCAGAGCCCACTTTGCTGCCCGGGGAGGGTGTGACCCTGGCTTTGCCATTGTTTTTCCCTTGCCAGGGTGACACCATCCCTCCTCCTGCCCTGCCCAGGACACGAGTGGCATGCTGTCCCTGGGAAAATGGGAATACCCATGGACCCTGAGGTGCAGCAAGCTCTGCCCCAGTGGCTGATAATCCTAGGCTTTCCTGGCTAATCTTCACTTTATTAGTTTGTGGCTGATATGAACAGAGAGAGTCAAATCTGCCTGTGATGGTTTCTTTCCCTCTAGGAGCAGCATGCTACTCTCTTTTCACCCCTCCCCATCCACCTGCTTTGCATTACGTCCCAATCCGATTTCCCCAAGTCTCTGGTGTCTGATTTAATTTGCCTGATGCTGCTCCTGGAATCAGCCCTCCCCTGACCCCTCCTGTCCACAGCCTTCCAACTCCCCATGGGGAGATCAGTCCTGGGAGAGACTGAGGAGTAGAGAGGGAGCAAGAGACTTGCTGGGTGGACAGGCAGGACTGATTGGAAACCGCAGAGGGACAAGGGGCTTCTGGCCAGTGAGGACTCATTCTCAGCAGAGGAGGCAGGCCGTGAGGGCCCCATCCAGGGGCAACTGCAACCCACCTCACTCTACAGATCTCGGTAAGGATGCTGCCTTCTTGCGATGCCTGAGGTCACCTTGGTGAGCCTGGCATTTGGGACCCTGAGTTTCTTGGTGTAATTCTGTGGGAAGTCTTTGTACAGGGACTGATTCCATCAGAGGATGTGGGAGGGAAGATCATGGTGTGGGAGGATTTGGGGTCAGCAATAAGATGTCTTTGCGATGATGAAGGGCATTGTGGTGGGATGGGGTTGCCTGTTCTCCCCTTGTCAGGTAAATCTCACCAGTTTCTAGACTGGAACAGGAGGGTAAAGCCCCTGCTGAGGAACCTGGTGCTCACTACCCGTAGAGAGTCCTGCACACCCAGTGTGCCCCTGTGCACACCTCTTTGCAGCTGGCTGTTTTTCGGGATGGAGAAGGAGCCCTCAGAAAGCAAGAAGCAGAGCAGGGTAATTTTACCATGGCCTTTGATCTCTTATCATAGGAGAGGGGGATCATCTCTGCATCCGGCTCTGCAAGGAGCCCAGGGTCACCAGGGCAAGTGTGCATGGCCAGCCAGGGATTACACGGAGACTCAGGGATGCTGCCTGTTAATACTCAGTTCTCCATCCTGCACCTTTCCTTTATTTACAGCCCTCTCCCAGCATCTCACAGAGGGACCACTCCTGCCCCAATGTGGGGGAAGCTACCTGGAGGATAGAAAATAAGGAAGTTCACCTCCCCTTTCCTCCCACCCCCCTACTTGCACCCCAAGCCCCACAGGGGAGTGATCAGGTGGCTTGGTAGGACAGCCCCTGGGGGTGCAGGCTGGGACCCCGCCATGGCATGGTGCAAAGGACATAGCCACTGCCCTGAAAAGCCATGGCACGGCAGCAAAAGGCAGGAGGTGGGTGATTCCAGACCCCCTCAGCCTCTCACCACAGTAGAGGCGTGCAGTCTGCTACAAGCAGCCACCCAAGGGCTCAGGATTGGTCTGGTTGCCCATAGACAGGAGTGCTACAGCAGGAGCCTCCAGCAAGTTTGTGAGAAAAGGCAGGAAAGAAAGAACTGTCATGTTGGAGAGCAAAAGAAATTAAACGTGGTTTCAAAAGCCAGGAACTGTGAACTGGTTGAGCACAGCCAAGGCAGAACTCAGAAGAGGACTGGCATGAACTGACTAAGCCCAAGCTGTTTGGCTGTAGTGATGCTTGTAGGAAGCACAGCTCTGGACCAGTACTGGTGCCAAGGTCTTCCTGTCAGTAGCTCTTTGCAATGCTGAGGTGATGAATTACTTTTTCAAAGGTACCTGAGAACTTGGTTTCTACTGCTTAACATCCAGCTGAGAGAGCCCTTACTTCCAGAAAGCACCGAGCATGTACCTTTCCCATTAAAACCAGGCTAGGTAGCTACCATGAACAACCATGAACTGATCTGTGGGTCCACAAGAAATGGGGATCCCTAAGGTCCTGCTGGTCATGGCAGGAACGTGCCTTGGCCCTCCAAACTTCATTCCTTCTCCTCTGTTCTTTCCCTATTTGGTTCCTCCATTTCCTGTCCTAAATTTACATGACCATGACAAGCTACTCTTTTGCACAGCCATGATTCTCCTGAGAGGCAGCTGTGCTCCCCTGGGGACCAGGCAACTCACTCTCCACAAATTGCACTGGGATGTGATAGGTGAGGATGACAGGCAAAGTTGGAGCTATTACTCATCACTGGCTCCTCATCCTTCTGAGGCTGAGAACAATTCTTAACATCATTTAGAGTGTTCCCTCAAAGGGATTTAAGGGTTTGGACAGAGTCCTGAACCTAAGCTGCACCTTGTCTATATTTAGCCCTTTTTATCTGTCCTCAACATCATCCCTCTGCCCTTTGATCTGCTGACCGGCTCCAAAAGCCCTTCATCTGGTTGTGCGACTTCAGAGCAGATGCCTGTGAACTGGTGCTCCCACACTAGTGCCAGAGTGGAGAGAGAAACACCCAGGGAAGGAAAGAGAATGGTAAAAAAGCAGGAGATGCAAGGAAGACTGGGGATCTGATGGGTAATGAGGAGGACGTGTACAGCCTACTTCACCTGGGGCAGAACCTGAAAGAGAGAACAAGGCTCCCATCTCTGTGTAGGTCTGGGTGGGCAAAACCAAAAGTCCACAAAGACAGATTAGGGCAATGGATGGACAATGATCTCAGATGGCCAGAGGTGTGTGAAACAACAGCCTGGAGAGCTTGAGGACCAAGCAGAGGAGACTGGAAGGAGAAATCCAGAGGGAACAGCCCAAAGCTTAGTGCTGATGGATGGGAGGTAGGATCAGTCCTAGGGAAAACTGAGAAAGAGGAAGGTGTAGACTACAGTGGTAGGGCTGGTCTCCATAGGTGGCTGGAAGTTCAGGTTTGCCACCTAGTGTGCTGGTGGGCAGCAACCAGAGCTGGTCACAGTCTCCACAGCTTGACTGTACATCAAGGTCAGGGGGCAAGGGCCACAAGATAAGGAGGATGTGCAGCTTCCTACCGAAATGTGCAAAGCCTTCCCCAGCATCTCCCCACTTTGTCAGTTACCTGAGAGATGGAGTGGGGTGCCTAGCCCCTTCCTGAAGGAGAGGTACATGCAGGTGGGCTTTCATGGCCTGCATCACTCAAGCAGCCTTCCTGCAAGGAACCCCCTCATATGTCAAAATGAGATAAGAAAAGAACCAGTGAGAAGGGCCCAGGCCATTACTGCAGCACATGCCTCCAGGCTCTGACAGTATAGCCCTGGGCTCCAAGCCTGCTCCTTCACCATGCACTGAGGCCAGCAGAATGGGCCAGCAGCCATGTACAGTGCACGGGCAGAGAGCAGGGAAGAGGCAGCAGTATGTGGTTCCATTCAGACTTGTAGGCAGCAGGTACAAATCCTTTTCTGCAAAGTACAGCCTGAAATAGCCTCCCACTGGGATAAGCTCATGCCTCTCAGTAGCTATTGGAAGCCTGTATCTCTCTGTCTTTCCTGCACTCAAAATAGGAGTCATTTACCGAGCAGAAACTCACTCAAAGAAAGCCATGGAGCCATTCAGGGCAAGGGATTCTGGACGAAAATGCAGAGAGCTCTACAAAGCAGAGAGCAAAGGTAGGACTTGGGAGCTATCTGCATGAGCTTGCCCACAGCCTGGCATGGAAGGACCCAAAGCTCCACTGGCTGGAAGAGACTAGGCCTTCAGGCCAGAGGGAAATGGAGGCAATGTGACCCACAGGGACTAAGAGAAATTCTGCAGGTGCTGCTGGAACATTTCTTGGCCTTGGGACAAAGTGCTGGTTCTAATGATGAACCACACCTGGAGCACATCTGGACACTCACACTGACCCAGGAAGAAAGATTGAAGCAATTAAAGACCAGATTAATCAATAAGAGTGGAAGATGTTAGAATCACTGGAGAAGTTTTAAGTGCACATAACAAGAAAGAGAGAACATATGGTGCACGTGTATCTTGAATATGGATTACAGTTCCAGTACACTGCTCTCTCTGCAAAAAACATATCATCTATACTCTGTAAATAACTGAAAAGGGCTTAGAGAACAACAGAGGTAATAGGATGTAATGGCTTACACAGGAGGAATGACATAAGTGTGTTCTGCAGTCTGGAAGAGAGATGGATGACAAAGATCTATAAAATACCAAGTGATGCTGAGGTGAATAGAGGCCAGTTATTTGCTAATTCTTCCAACTCAAAAGCTAGAGACCACCAAGTGGAACTAGTGCCACTGGGGAGCAGCAGAACCAGGAACTTCTTTGCAGAGCCTGCCACTAAGATATAGAACTCATCACCGCGGGGTACTGAGGATGATAAGTTTTGACATGGACACAAAAATTGTGAGGAAAAAGGCATAGAGGAGAAATCCACCAAGGACTTGTGTACAGTAATGCTGCCTCTAGCTTTGGACATCAGTGAAAAGCCGGGGCTAGGAAAGTAGGACAAATACCACTATCTGCTTATGTTTTTCTTAGATTCTTCCTTAGGCATCCACTTTTTTTAAATTTTTTCTTTTTTGGATGGAAAACTAGAAGGGAACCCTGACAAAGCACCTCAGCAGCCCTCTGATTTCCTTGATGGTCAAAGAGCTGGTGGGCACTGCCTGGTGCTGCTTTGCCTATGACAAATGATCAGAAATAGGCATTGGAGTCCCCACATTGTTTCCTCCTCCTGGAGCTGATATGGACAGCTTAGCTATGCATGGACAGGGAGAAGCTGATGAAGAGGACCCAGCACTTGGTAGGGCTTGGAATGGAGGAGTTAAAAATAAAGAGGTAAGGGAACGAGTGTGGCCAGAGCCTCAGCAAGAGACTCTGGAGGTCTTCAGCTTCCCAGTGTACACATAAACAGGATACAAGGCCAAATGGACCTTTGACCAGGCCCAGTACGATCTTCCCAAATGCTAAGGGCTTTGACCAGATACAGCACAACATTACCAAGCATTCAGCCAATAAATGGTTGCTAAGTCTTTATCAGAGCTACCTACATGTGCCTAACTGAGCAGTCATATTAGTGCCCTTTCTACCTCACAGCTCTCTCCCTTGGTTTGTCTCCAGAGAATCAAGGCTGCCCCACGTGGAGGAACCACTCCTAGGTCAGAAAGATGGGGGAAATGGAACAGATGAAGCAGGAGGCTGAGCAGCTGAAGAAGCAGATTGCGGTAATGCTGGCAGCAGTCGTGAAAATGCTGAGAAAGTGTCTACCCACCCCACGTCCAAGTTCTCCTCCTCAGCCACAACTTGGATTGAGCTTTCTCCACCTACATCCTTGGAGCCCTCTGCAGTTCTGCACAACCCTTTATTGAAGTGCTAAGGGAGATCTTCATAGCATGGTGGGGGAAGAAGGGGAGGAGGAGGGAGGGAGAGAAGAGGGGCCACTGCAATGGTGAGAAGGAAGTGGCCACTGGCACTGTGTCTGCAGGAGGCCAAAGAGTTTAGTGTGACCCCAGGACATCCTCTCTCTGGGAGGCAACCGGTGTTCTGCCAGATAGGAGGATCCATGGAAAGGGTGTAGCATGAGGAACTGGATGCTGAGCAGTTTTGGCTCACCTTCCTGACGTCTGACTGGTGCCAAGGTGCCCTAGTCACAGACCAGGATCCCCCTGTGCTGGCCACAATCCAAACAGAGTAAAGCCACAGTTCCTACTTCTGGCAGCCCCCAGGTTGTGCCTCTGAATTTCACTCGCCATTGCCTTCATCACACAGCTTTTTTTCTGTCTCATCTGCTCTTGTCTCTTCTCCAGGATGCCCGGAAAGCGTGTGCAGACACAACGCTTGCTCAGGTAAGGGGCAGTGCTGGCTGGGCAGGTGAGTATGTGTACGGGTCAGGTAGCACCACTCCAATAGGGACTTTCTCCAATTGGGAAGCACAGTTAGGAGGCAGAGATATGGGCAGCAGTAAAGCTCCTGCCAGTCCCAAATCAATTCTTTCTTTTCCCCCACTCTTTCCTCAGATTGTGTCTGGAATGGAGGTTGTTGGCCGCATCCAGATGCGGACCCGAAGGACCCTACGTGGGCACCTGGCCAAGATCTATGCCATGCACTGGTCCACGGACTCCAAGTGAGAGAGATGCTGCTGACCTGCTGGGTGCAGGACAGCACATGGGGGTGAAGGGCAAGACAACTCTGATGGGAAGAGAGCTACTAACATAGTCTTGTTCCTCCCTCACAGACTTCTGGTCAGTGCCTCACAAGATGGGAAACTGATTGTGTGGGACACATACACAACCAACAAGGTAGGACTGAGAGGACTGCAGCAAGCAGGGTGCAGGAGTGGGTCCCCTTGGAGCTAGCGCCCTTGCCCTGCTCTCTCTGCTGCCAGAGTGCCAACACGGTTTTTTGTTCTCCCAGGTTCATGCCATCCCTTTGCGTTCTTCCTGGGTCATGACCTGTGCCTATGCCCCCTCAGGCAATTTTGTGGCCTGTGGGGGCCTTGACAACATGTGCTCCATCTACAGCCTCAAGACTCGGGAAGGCAACGTCAAAGTGAGCAGGGAGCTCTCAGCCCATACAGGTGTGTGTGTGTGTGCTGCCCACCTGCCACCTGGGCGCCCACTGCTTCCAAACCTCACTCTTCTAGCCCTGCCCTGTTTCTCATATTTGCTTGTTCCCACTTCCCAGGTTACCTCTCCTGCTGCCGGTTTCTTGATGATAACAATATCGTGACTAGCTCTGGAGATACCACATGGTGAGTGTTATCTTCTGCACCCTAGTGACATCACCTATGGCTCTTAAAGGCAGAGCACATGTCAGCAAGCACAGTACTTTTGCTCTGTAGCAGTCCATGATCTAAGGATGAATTACTCCTACACAGAGCACCTTAGGAAGCCAGATCCATTCTTCTTCCCTTGGCAGAACAGGTTCTTCTTTTCCCAGTTGAGGTCAGGTCAAGATGCAGGTCTACTGGTGAAGCATAGGGACCATGTTGTCAGCTCTCACAAAGCACAGTGGCATTTACCCCAGGACATAAACCATCATAAATTTATGTGGAGCCCACACACATGCTCCACTTTTCAGATCTTGCTCACTGTGCAAGGGACACCTGCAAAGCCAGTGCCTGGATCTTTTGGTTCCTGGCTCTCAGGTCTCACTGTGCTGACTTTGAGCAGTGCCAAGTCTTTATTCACTCCCACCCCATCCCCAACACCTGCTTTGGAAGAACCTCTTGACTGAGGACAAGTCAGGATGTGGCATTTCCATCAGAGATCAAGGTTACACAGGCCTTGCTTGCCTGGCTGTAACGTGGGATCCCAGTGAACATGGCCTGTGCATCCTATGGGTGTGGATTCAGCACAGCTTTTTGTGCCTGTGGATCCCTCTTACCTCCTCTCAGTATTTCTTTCAACTGCTGCAGTTATGGGAATATGGTCAAACCTCACTCTCAGCCTTAGTCTAATTCTGCTTTGGTAAAGGTATGACCAGCAACAGCTGTGAGGATATCTCCTGTTGTATACAGCTGACTCCAGCGGTACTCTCACCCATTTTCTCATGATGTAGCCAGGTCCGTGGCTTCCCTCCTTTTGTTTGTGAGTGGGACAGCTCTTCAGCCCAGCTGTCAGTCTGTCCTGCCTGGGCTGGCTCTGAGAAGTTCTCTCCTCTCCTTCAGCGCTCTCTGGGACATTGAGACCGGGCAGCAGAAGACTGTGTTCCTGGGTCACACTGGAGACTGTATGAGCTTGGCTGTCTCCCCAGACTTCAAACTTTTCATCTCTGGGGCTTGTGATGCTACTGCCAAACTGTGGGATGTGCGGGAAGGCACCTGCCGTCAGACCTTCTCAGGGCACGAGTCTGATATCAACGCCATCTGTGTATGTATGTTGTCTGCACAATGGTGGGGAAGCAAGGAAAATGGAGGGTGGACCAGCTCTGAAACAGTCCCGGGACAAGGCTGAAAGAAGCTGTCAAGAGTTGCGTGGGGAACAAGGGTCTCAGGAGACCCTGGCCCTATGATCCAGCCTGAAGCAGGGAGGGCCTGAGTTTACTGAAGTTTAGAGGCTGGCTCTTCCCAGGGTCCAGGGCACAAAAGCATCTAGGTCTGACTCAAAACACTGCTTGGACTCAGCCAGCACACCATGGTCTGTGGAGCTCAGCACCCTAATACAGCTTTGCTCATAGCAGCTGTTGGGAACATGGTTCAGGCATGCCCCAGGAGCCCTGGAGCAAGACACAGGTGAGGCAGCAGGAATACCTAACTCAGCTGAGGGTCCTGGTCAGCTCCAGACAGCAGAGGTGGGAACTTGGGGTCAGAGAAGAGATCCTCTGAAGGTGCAGTCTTCACAGGAGGCAGCACAGACTTTTGGGGCAAGTATGTCCCTCAGAGGCAAGGATTCAAAGCAGAGCCCTAGAGGTGGCAGGACAAGAAACGTATCAGTTTAATCCCATGCCACTAACCGAATGATTTTACCATCTTCCTGCAGTGTCTGCTTGCTTGAACTTCAATTAGTACAGCTTTTCTCACCTGTCCTGTAGTTTACCCTGTGGCCGTATGGTTTTCTGCCATACCTGCTCCCGAGGAGTTTTTTCTTGCTCTTCAGAGCAAGGACACAGAAAAGGTTGGGGTATGGTGGTCAGACAGAGGAAGGCATAACTTCTGTAACTCTGAATCATGCCAGACCTCATCTGGGGGATAATGGGCAGACACTTGTCAAACCCCGAACTAACAGCTGGAGTGAGAGACAATAATCCTTCCTCAGGCACTGGGACATCTTGCAATAGCTCTAGCCCCTAGGTCATTTGCTTTCTTGAGGCGGAAGGTGTTTACTAGATGTTAGGAGAAGCATCAGTCTCCCCATTAAGCAGATTCAACTTTTATGATCCAGTGCCTTGTCCCACTGGGTTTCCCAACGTCTGTGGCTTCCTGGTAGTTAGCAGGGAGGCAAAGAGTTGAGGAAATCTGTAAGGCATGGCCTGATTAAAATCTGGTGTGTGCCCTCCTCAGTTCTTTCCTAATGGTGAAGCCATCTGCACCGGCTCAGATGATGCCACCTGTCGACTCTTTGACCTCCGGGCAGACCAGGAGCTCGTAGTGTACTCTCATGAGAGCATCATCTGTGGAATCACATCAGTCGCCTTCTCCCGCAGTGGGCGCCTCTTGCTTGCTGGATATGATGACTTCAACTGCAACATCTGGGACTCCCTGAAAGCAGAGCGTGTGGGTGAGTGACTCCCAGAGGTACCTCTTTCAGTTCCTGCAAGGTCTTCTGTCCCTGCCAAGGCAAGGAAAAGGCTTTTATTTTTTCTAAAAGGGACACATCTTATACTGACTGAAGCCCAACAAAACTTCCTCACACTTAAGGAGTACACCATAACTAGTATAACTCTCTTGCGTATAGAAGAACTATAGTTTTTAACATTAAGGAAGTCAAACCTTTAAAAAACATTGTTTCAAGGGGGAATAGAGCATTAAGGTTCCTATTAGCTAAAACCACTCACAAACACCAGTAGTATTTCCTGCTTTCTCCTAGCCTGTGCAGTTTGCACTCACAGTGCTGCTTGGTAGCCAGGCACCAAGCTGAGCATGAACCTGGGCTTCCATCCAACCCCTCTGGATACTCTGTGATGCTTACACACAGAGAATACCCAAGTGCCATTTTTCTTTTAGATGTGGCCCCTAGCCTCTGAAAGTTTATAATGCAACCCACCAGCAGCATTGGTGTGTCTGTCTTATCAAGGATGCTATCCTTTCTTAGTCCTACCATTGCTCCAGAGTGATAGCAGTTGTGTGAGGATTCAGCTAGCCAGACCTTTCCAAGAATATTGTTCTTTGGACAGTCCCTTGAGTGGTGGCACAAAACTTCTTCTTCTGCATGTTTGATTAGCCACATACTGATTATAACACATTGTGCAGAAACAGGCACCATGATACACAGGCGTGTAGGTATACAGTCTATGATGCATATCCTCAGCGTGATCAATCCCTTCATCTCTCCCAGGCCTCACTTATTTTTCTGACCTCTCTTCTTTCCCTCCATAGGAATCCTTTCTGGCCATGACAACAGAGTGAGCTGCCTGGGGGTGACAGCAGATGGCATGGCTGTTGCCACCGGCTCCTGGGACAGCTTCCTCAAGATTTGGAACTGAGGACTGCAGCAGAGAGGGAAAGAGCAGCAGAAGCACAGCCCACAACCTGAGCCCATGCAAACAGCATCATCAGCTGAGAACAACAGAAAGGCCTGCTTGTCTCTAGACACAAGTCGCTTGTAGGGGTCTCCCAGTGAAAGGGAGAGGTTGGGGAGGGGGAGCAGGAGCACACATGCTGGCCCTTCTCTCCACCCCTAAACAGGCCCAGCAGTTTCCAGCTTGATGCAGGCTTGAAGACCTGCAAAACACTGCTTATGTCTCAGGACATTACAGTACAGTTCAGACGCCCTGCATCTTCCTTCAAAGACCTCTGCCCACATTGATACCCATCCTTCAGAGGACCCTCATCCAACACCCCTGTCCCTGATCAAGCTCTGCCCCTGATTGAACTTCAGGCTCTCTGTGCAGCTGTCCTATATCCCTGCAGACTGCCTCAGAGACATGCTGGGTTTGAGATCTCTATCATGCAACCTCAAACAAAAAGTAGTGTAAATTGGGCTTATTTTCCATTGAGGAAGACTTAGCTTAAGTCTTATTTGTGCATAAATGGGGGAAAAGTAGCCCTCGGAGCTGCCAGGATATCAGGAAATATTATATTTATTCTTATTTACTGTCTGCTTCTTGCTGTTCCTTCTTTTTGCCTCTCTCCTGCATTGTGTGGCAACCTTGTCTAACCAGTAGCCATCAGCCCCTGATTTCAAGCTTTTTATAGATTTTCATAGGCCAGGCAAATAAAGGAAACTCACCTAAGCACTGCAGGCTGTGTTCTTTCCAGCATTGCTATGAGCTACTGCAAACATAACTCTTCCGTGAATACTGCCTGCAGACCCCATCCAGAGAATTTCTCATCCACAGGCCTCGTTCTACATCAAAGACCCCAGGGGAGGGTGTTCCTCACCTATTCTTTAGTTGAGAAGAGGCTGTTAGTCCCAAGGCTTGCTGCTGAGACTTGCTGCTGTAGTTGGGATAGAGCACTGAAAACACATCCTTGCAAACCTTGGATATTTGAGCTCAATTACAGGACACAGCCATTATGTTCAGCCCCTACTCCACTTCCGAGCTCAAAGCAACATCCTGAGGGCCCAATACTCTGCTAGGGAGAGTTGAAGGTCAATAAGGTGTAGTGACTTATCAAAAGGTCAAGATAATACCATCTCATCCTATTTTGGATCCCACCCTCATGCCAGACTCTTGCAACAGGCTACAGCACTTCATCTGTTTAGTTTCAGGACAGTAGAACTCCAGAAGTGACACTAGATACATCAGTCTCCTGCAGAGCTGCAGCTTCCCAGCCCACTCTATAGTACATGAGTTCAAGGTCAGACCTTTCTCAGCACAGCTCTACGGTGACATGGTAGGTACAGGGGTGAGTTTTAGAGCTAATGAAAAACTGAACTATTTCTTCCTGAATCTTTGTCCTCAAAGAAAACATTGCACTGGGCAAGCAGGAGACTCCTATTGTCTTATTAGGACATACAGTCAGCAAGTGTTTAATACAAATTTATTTGCCATAGATAACTCTACAATAAGTCAATACAGCTTATATATAATAGAAGAACCAAAGTCTGTACTATACATAAGGCATGCAAGCTGGGGGGGGAAGAGAGAGCAAGAGCTCTTTCCCCAAAACAGTTAAGTGAGAAGAATGACCACAAGTCTGGAATTTCAGTCTATTGCAGGATTTCTCACACCTAGAAGGCTCTCAAAACATAGAAGCAAGTTACAGCAAGATCCTGGAAAAGGAAACCTCTAGTTATCCACAAAAGGACACTGTTGGTTCTCTTTGTTCAAGTCATTCCAAGCACAGTTCCCAGTTTTGAGGTTCCTGCTCAGATCCACTGTCATTTCCTTCTCCCCAAGGTTCTCTCCCAACACATGTCTCTTACCCTAGAGAAATTAAAAAAAAAAACAAACAGTGTAAAACATAGGTTAACTGAGGGTTAAGCTAATTCTCAGTGGAACACTTAGCCCATTTTCAGGACTTTCAGCTCCAGCTCTCTTGTGACAAGGTCTGAGAGTGATGGACTTATTTCTAAAACCTACAGAAAGAATGCATTGAAATAAGCAATATAAGGCAAAAAATACAGACATTGAACAAGACTTGGAGGCATCTAGGGACAAGATTAACACACAGAAAAATACTTCGGAAATCAACAGGCTCTACAGGCCTAGGAGCCCACAGTTCAAAACTGTGGCCCTACACACTAGAGAAATTAAATGATTTAGGGTTTCTCAGTCCATTCTCCCTCCCTCTTCTGCCAATTATTAGGCCTAGCATAAAGGACACAGACAGCATAAAGATGAACCAACAACCAAATTGTATTTGATACAAAAGGGTCAGTACATGGGTGAGCACTGGGGGTACAAGTCAGATTATACATAATCAACATCAATCCCACTGACCCCAAGAATGACATCACATGACCAACAATGGGTGGAAGAAATGGTGAAACACAGTCTCCTATAGAAGGGACAGGAGACAACCAAGTCAACAAACCAAATACATAAGACCAAGGAAGTCACATACTGAATCTCTACACAGCCTGCATGTACAAAAGCCAGAGCTGACTGGAGCCCAGTCCCAGGGAGGCAGGAGGTCCTTCCCCAACAGGAAACTCTGCAAGGTGCATCCTCCTCACAGACAGACACTGCCCCTGCCTGCAAGTGGTCCCAGCTTTTATCCCTAAGTGGGACACCTGACCTTTGTTTACTTAACGCAGGACACCTCGGGCTCATTTACCCAAAGGGTCTCCCTGCAAGGCCGGCTGCACCCTGGAGGGAAGCCTAAAGGCAAACTCACCCCCACTTTGTAAAGGGCTGTGGGAATCACCCATGTGTCAACCTTAATTTGGGGCTGGAGGTTGAAACCCTGGCATTTCACTCCCACAGTATGAATCATTAAGCTTTACCTGGCGAGGGGCAGAAGCACTGGGGGAATTATCATCTTGTATGATGCTGAGGGGAGAGCGGCCAGTTCCACCAGATGTTGCAATGATTTTGTTGTTGGTCTTGCGCCTTACAGGCTTGCTCCCTAATGACAGAAACATGTCAGTGTGTCACTACAAAGCTAGAGGATTTTAAATGCCTCATGACCTTTATGATCTGACTTGCTTGCCCACACAGCAAAGACTGTTACCCAAAGACTTCCAAGTAAAGGCTCACAGAAAGGTTGTGGTTGGAAGGGACCTACTGGTCCAACTCCCCTGCTCCAGCAGAGCCATCTAGAGCCAGTTGCCCAGGACCAGGTCCAGACAGTTTTTAAATATCTCCAAGAATGGAGATTCAGCAACAACTGTGGGCAACCTGCTACACTGCTTGGTCAACCTCACAGTGAAAAAAGGGGTTCCTGATGATCGGATGGAGCCTTCTATGTTCCAGTTTGTGCTCTTTGCCTCTGGTCACCACTCACAACAGTCTTGCTCTTCCTTCTGTATACCTCCCCTTCAAGTATTATACATAAGATCCCCTTGAGCCTCCTCTTCTCCAGGCTGAACAGTCCCAGCTCTCGGCCTCTCCTCATCAGAGAGACGCCCAGCACAGTTTTCCAAAGTGCAGTCTATATTAAAGACTCTCAGCACCACTCAGGCACAGCATTTAGATGAACTTCCCACCTTGCTCCCCAGCTCTTCCCAAGGAGAAACTCCAAGGTCCCACTGAATAGGCCTTCATGACCACTAGCCTGTCTCAGACAAGAGGAGAGCTGCCATTTCCCTCTTGATTTTGACTACCGATTGAAAACACTTTTCAACGCCTGAGGGAAAGCAGGTCAACAAAAGAACAGCTCCCAAAGGGGCCACCAGCTGCACAGCCCCAAGGCGAGGCTATCTGAGGGGGTAGGGGACAGCCATACCGGGGGGGAATGGACACAGTATCTGCGACCAAGCAAGCCTAGAGAAGGTACACGCGCCCGAGGGGGCTCCTCTCAGGAGCCGTGCTGCTCCTCAAGTACACAGAGCGCGTTACCCCCACACCGAGCACTTACCCGAGGAAAAGCCAGGAGCGGCAGCGCGCGCTGACCGAGCCGGGGCCACGTCGGGCGACAGCGGCCTCGCTGCCTCTTCC